TTTAAATTAATAAGTTCGACTTTAAGTCGAAAATCTATTCGGTTAAATTATTAACCGAGTCGAAGTTAATAATTAATTTCCGAACCGTTTATTTTATAAACGGATATTATTAGTCGGGATTAATTATTGAGAATTGAGAATGATCGAAGTTATTTTATCAAGAACATGTTAAGTTTTGGAAATCAAGCCCTAAGTTATAGATATAAGTGTACGTACACCAAGCTTAAGCCACTACTCATCATTATCTTATAAGTTGATAAGTGCTTTGATCAAGCTAATTACGCCATGCTTAATCCATGGATCATTGCCGTGAGAATTTCTCCACAATTAGTATATTATGTGCAAGTTGATGTGCTTAGTCACCTACTAGCTTAGCCATATGGCACGACCTTAATATTTCAAGTGATGACTAAGCTTATGAGTGATGACTAGGTTAGCTTAAAGTGCCACATAGCATAGTGACTAAGCCATCAAAAATGCCACCATGCGTGGAGATGAAAGCAAGTGGCACTATATCTTTTAACCTCATTTTATCTCCATCCTTTCTAACATATTTAACTAAGTAAAAGCCGTGAGTTTTCCATGCATTTCATGCAAGAACCTACCTAATATCAGCCTACAAACCAAGAGAAAAGAGTGAGAAAAATCATACAATAATCCCTAAGAATAGCCGAAGCTAAGGAGGAGCACACGCATAGCACGCAAGCACCAAACACACGCACAAGACATCGTGCATTTCTCGAGTAAATTGAAGGGTATACTCTTAACTACCCTCTTTTTATGTATTTAAGCTCATGTTAATAAGATCAGGTCATTATCATGACGTTCGGGTCAAGTTTTGTGCAAAAACGGCCTCGGAGGTGCTATATAAGCCCTCTCCGAGCCATTTTCGAAATCTAACCGGCAAGTCTCGAGTAATTCATGCATATTTAGCCATTTCAAGTCATTTTATGTTCAGTCATATGTAGATTGCCGCAAAAAGTTGTCGGACAGCCGGCGAAAGGCCGACCGTAGTGCCTATCCGCACATAGCGTGCGCATGGCACGCCCGACAGTCACAGCAGACTCGCAGGCAGCATACACACACCTAGCGGTGCGTGCGCGTAGCCAGTGCCCCGCAGCCAGTAACGTGCTGCTGCGGTCATGCGCGTAGGTGTGCGCAGTGCACGCCAACACGCACGGCAGCATGCAAACAGCCCGTCCGCGTACGCAGCAACGCGTCGCACGTCCAGTAGCGTGCCCCGCAACACCCGTACGCATGCCAGCAGCGCTCTGCGCACGCTGGCCAGTGTCCACGCACGCCAGCACGCCCAACAGTGTACCAGAAGTGCCCAGCAGGTCTCGGCGTTGCTCGGCAGCACGCCCGAGTGCCCAGTCATCCCAGCACGCATAGCCCGCGTGCCAGTCACCTGCCTACGGCGCGCAGTAGCGCTCTGCAGTGCCCGTACATGCCAGTGCCGTCGCAAGTGCCCGAGGCAGTGGCCAATTATGCCCCGTAGGTACCCAGCAGTTGTTGGCCGTGCACAGCAACACACCAGTGACCGTTGATGAAGGATCGTGTGTTGCGTTCCCTTGACTTGTCTCGAACACAGCTTCACCACGGCCTTGCTCTCGACGATAGGTGTGATTGACTCAGTTATTAGCCTAACTCTCTCACGATACTTGAGTTCACTCGGGTCTTAGCCTCGCTCCCTCGGTTTTGAACTGGCTCGGGTCTTAGCCTCACCAATTCGATTGCATGATCGAACTCTCACGAATCCTAACACACGGTTTCGAACAAACGTTCTTTTCTATTTCATCAATTCCAAGACCTCTCCAAACAATGAGAGAAGCATCCCTATTTATAGATCCTAACTATGACTAATTCTAATCTACCTAGGAAACTCATTAAAGAAATAAAATATTAAATTTCTAAACAATCTAGATATTATTGTGCAAGAAGGAAACTAAATATCTAGAGTCCTAATTGACTTGATTGTCTTGATCTTGCTTGGCTTGCACTCCAAACAATTCCAAATCACACGCCCAAGTACTTGCCGCCTTCCATCAATGCACGCCGACTCGCGTTGCCTAATCTTTGGCGCGCGAGGCACCGCGCCTCATCCGTCTCGCACGCGCTGGCCACCGCCCCCGCTACTCCTAGTCCATCTCGGCATGGGTCGTCCGCATCGTACGCGTGCGTCATCGCACACTCCCAGCGCTCGCCACCTATCTCGCGCGCGTGTACCTCACCACTTAGCATTCCTAAGCCCGCAAGGCTTAGGCTTTGCGCATGTGCATCCCACTCGCGCGCCCTCGTTCATGCGCCCGTATCGCTGGCCTGCTCGCGTGCGTCCTCGCTACTCCCGCGAGTGCCGCGCATATCGCCGACCACCGCGGCTTGCCTACCTCCTGCGCACGATCGCGCCTCACTTGCGTCCAACATCTCGGCGCTGCTTCTCCGTTCAACGCCTCGACCCTTCGACCTTTTGCGCGCATCACAGCACGATGCGTGCCATACGCCCGATAGACGGTCTTCATCGATCCTTTTATCCCCCGACTCCAGTGGTTCTCCCGATGGCCATGGGTCCCAACCATCCAACCCAATGCAGTCTCCTGCATGCCATATCCAGCCATCTTCCGTTCCTAGCCTTCCACGTCTTTGAAACTCTGAATGCCATGCCCGTTTCTTCCTAGTGCACGGCCCGCAACATTGGCTTGCCTTTTGCGCCTTTGTTTTGCGTCGTCTTTTGGCCCGACGCTTCTTAACCTTCAACTTAGCCCGTGGACCACATCCTCTCGGCCAGTCTCTTTCGCCTAAAGTTCAATATATCGGGCTTGATGGCTCTTCCAATATGTTCTCCAACCATATATCGAGACCATCGTCACCTTCCTCGTCGGACTCACCTGGGTTGATGACCACTTCCGTATCAACCGTCCACAGCGCATGGGCGGTTTCAGTGTACCCGCCAGCACACGGACCAAGCTCAGCCAGCGCCAGCAGCGCCGGCAGCGCCTAGGCCGCGCCCAGCGCGCGCACATGACCGAGCCGGTGACCAGCCAGCGGCTGACCGCCCGGCCATAGCGAGCCGGCGGTCCGTCCAGTCAGTGAACCGGCCGGTTCAGACCGGTTACTTGAGCAGTTCAGTACTCGATAACCCGATCCGAGTTCAGTATAATATTTCAGTTAATTTTTCAGTCCAGTCAGTTCAGTATACCAATACCAGTTCAGTCCAGTTTTCTTGTCAGTCAAGTTAGACCCCGTGATTATTCCACTTAAATATTTAGATCGAGTCGAGTGTCTTAACAACTATTTCAGTCAGTCTGAGCATAGTACTTAGTATTTGTTTATTTATATATATTTTTACAGATTGATCAGCAGCAGCACTTACACTTTCAGACAAGAAGTTCAGATGGGAACTCAGACTGGGTATTACATTGATTATAATTACTCTACCATGTTGAGGTATGTATATGAGTTATCCACTTTGGGTGGAGGCCAGTTGCCTTAATAGGCCATTCTAAGTTCTGGTGGAGGCGCAGTAGCCTTAATTGTCCATCAGAGTGTGCACATGGTTACGGACATAGTGTCCGAGATATTCAGTTCAGTTACCGACCTAGTGTCGGGAGATTACAGTCTACTTATATATACCTGCGATCATTATATTGATATTATTATCAATGTTTACTTTAGCATGAGTTTCTGCGGAGCACAGAGGCTTTAGTGCTCACGCTCCCACTATATTTTTTTCAGGTAACAGGGTCGGTCCGGAGGAGTGAGTGAGTCAGGTGGCCGTGGATTTCGTATATATATATATATATATA